AAGGAAGGAAGGAAGGAAGGAAGGAAGGAAGGAAGGAAGGAAGGGAGGGAGGGAGGGAGGGAGGTACCACAGAGAAAGAAAAGGAGATCTGCATACAGGGAAGTTCAGAATTACGTACCTGGCGCTGCCTCCCAGCTTCAGGGCCACCTTTCCCAGGGGCTTGTCCAGATCGTCGTGAACCAGGTAAATGTCTTCCACACCCAGCTTGTACGTTTCCGCTGGAAAGGGGAAAGAAGGAACTTCATGAAGCCAAATGGAAAGTCTAGCATTTTGATACAGTCAGGATCATAGGAAGCTGCCTTGTGCAAGGAGAAGACCCTTGAACCATTTAGGCTGGTATAGGCGACTCTGACTGGCAGGCGTGCTTCTTGGGGGGGGGGGGAATCCCACACACGATTCCTTCCCTGCCAGACGGGCAGATGCTTCTCAGTACTGAACCTGGGTCATTCTGAGAGAGGAACAGATACCTGTAAGTGTTTTTTAATTCACTGATTCCGTGGATGCCGATTCTTTTAAAAGCATGCTTAAGAATGCAGCCTTTGGGGGGGGAGGCTGGGAGGACCTTTTTAAAGTCAAATGGAGAGAAGACGGGACTTTTCCAGAGGTCAGAATATCATCATATGAGCGCTCTAGATCTAAAATGTCCCATGAAAAGGGCTGGCACGCCACCTCCTGGTCACAACAGGAACAATATAGCCAATAATGACAGGTTTTTTGGGCATTATTATTATTTTAATATACATTTCTATCCCACTTTTCCTGACATAAGCTCAAGGCAAAGTCCATGGGGGCATAAATTAAGTCCACGGATGGCCTCGGTTGTTCCCTTGCTCAGCCCGTCCTGCATACCTTTAACAAAATATAATAAGCAGGTAAAATAAGAACTTAAGATCCTCCCATCATGGCAGTTTCTAGTGTTTTCCGATATGCCCCATGTGTGTCAGAAAGTTAAGAAAGGGGTGTAAGGCGAGGTCTCCTTACTGGGTTAGAACAGAGTTTTTCCCCAACCTGGGACTCTAGATGTTGCTGAACTACAACTCCCAGATACACTGACCACTAGCTCTGCTTGCTATGAGTTCTGGGGATTGCAGTCCAAGCACCTCTGGAGCCCTGCATTTGGGAATCAGAGGGTCAGAAGGCAAAACAAGGGCCCCCTCCTTACCAGCACCAACCACAGAGAGGCCGTTGACATTCATGAACCTGCGGGGTTTCATTAGGATGAGCTGCAGGTCCCCCAGAGGGGCAAAGGCCACGTCTCCACAACACGGCCGGTCCTTCGTCCACCGGTCGCCCACGCTCAGCTTATTGGCCAGGTGGTTGAGAACAGCCATGCCCACGCTGTGGCGTGTGTCGCCCATGCCGTGGTTCCCCAGTCCAACTACCTGCCAAAGAGACGGATTTGTGGTTTTTAGTGGGAGGGAGAGAGCTTGCCCGCCTTGGCACCATGCCTGGCGACGTTTACAGCGAAAAGGCGTCCATTCCCACTGTTCCTTGTTCATGCAGCTGGGATTCGAGGACAGAAAGTATAAAGAATAAATAAATAGGACACCAGGAACAGCAATTAAAAAAAAATCCACCTGTAGTGGGGGGAAAAAAAAGAAATTTTAAAAATAGGTGAACACGCATTCATCAGAGAGTTCAGTTCTTTCTCCATTGGCTTAAACAGGGACGGGGGCTTTTTATCACATTACACAACCTCTCTATAAAAACTGGGGAAAATGCGTGAGTCTGTGGTTCACTTCCATGGCTAGGCACTTCCGCCACGCAGGATCCGCCTTCCTGGAAACCGGAAGTGTCTCCCCACCCCTGCCCCCGCTCAACCGGAAGCACTAACTTCCAGCCCGGCGAGGCCTGCTTTTGCTCGCCTTGTCCCTCCTCTTACCAGGACTCGCTTTCCGGCGGCGGGAAGCTCGTCTTTGTGCAGGCTCATCATCTTCCTTAAGAACCTACCCAGGGCCGCAAGAGGCATTATCATCTCCCCCTTCCCTCTCACTGCTCCCCTCCCAGGGCTAGAGAGGCCTCCGGTGCTCTATTTCCGGTCCCGGGGCTCGAAATGGAAAGCGAACCTGCCCCGCTGCGGCCGCCTTAGCCCGGTGCCTGCCTTGTGTGACGTCATGAAAGTATAAAGAATAAATAAATATGACACCAGGAACAGCAATTAAAAAAAATTCCACCTGTAGTGGGGGAAAAAAAGAAAATTTAAAAATAGGTGAACACACATTCATCAGAGAGTTCAGTTCTTTCTCCATTGGCTTAAACAGGGACGGGGGCTTTTTGTCACATTACACAACCTCTCTATAAAAAATGGGGAAAATGCGTGAGTCTGTGGTTCACTTCCATGGCTAGGCACTTCCGCCACGCAGGATCCGCCTTCCTGGAAACCGGAAGTGTCTCCCCACCCCTGCCCCCGCTCAACCGGAAGCACTAACTTCCAGCCCGGCGAGGCCTGCTTTTGCTCGCCTTGTCCCTCCTCTTACCAGGACTCGCTTTCCGGCGGCGGGAAGCTCGTCTTTGTGCAGGCTCATCATCTTCCTTAAGAACCTACCCAGGGCCGCAAGAGGCATTATCATCTCCCCCTTCCCTCTCACTGCTCCCCTCCCAGGGCTAGAGAGGCCTCCGGTGCTCTATTTCCGGTCCCGGGGCTCGAAATGGAAAGCGAACCTGCCCCGCTGCGGCCGCCTTAGCCCGGTGCCTGCCTTGTGTGACGTCATCGTCGCGACTGGCCTATCGCAGGGCTCCTGGCAGATGAGCCGTGCGCGGCCATATTGTCTTGGGGCGGAAGTCCCCCTTTTTTTGAGGAGAACATTCTTAGTCCTGCAGATTGAGTGATTTTAAACAGGAACAGTAAAACCTTTCAAAAATAACGCAGAGATGAACACGTTTTCGAAGTCTGGCTTTGCTTTTCAAGTGCAAAACCCCCACAAAGCCTCCTGCACCCCTAAGAGGAAACACCAGATTATAAAATGCAGAATAAAAACAAAAAAAATTGACGTGGGTGGGAGGGGCTTTAAGATTAATTGATTTATTTCAGTATGAGCTTTATTAAATTATTTTAAATTATTTTTACCCCGCCTTATTCTTTAAAATAGGACGCAAGGTGGCTTCCACTATGAAAAACACCATATTACAAAACCAAGGATTAAAGAAGAATTAATAATATTAAATTTAAAATGTTAGGTCACAGCGCTACTCGAAAGGGTCTCCTTTCGTGGGTGACAGCCCTCCCCCTTTCCACCGCAAAAGCTTCTGCAAAATTAAACCTATATTAGCCTTTAAAGTGGGTCAAGACGGTGGTGTTTGTCTCTAAGTCACCGACTTTTTCAAAGCACGGTGAAAGGACTAGCACTGTTGCAGGTCACGATCCCCCGAGGGTACGTGGGAAACTGGAACCGCAGCCCTCCCAAACACGCGCCTCCCGTGCACGGGACGGTTTCACACGACCACGGGCTCGCGGTATCTCTCGCTTTCTCCCTCTAGCGGCCGGTCCGTGAACAGCGCCCTGGGCGAGAGACCGTTGGCTTTCTAGCCCGCCTAGCAACGAAGCCCCTGCAGGATGGAGCCGAAGGAGGAGAAGGAGAAAGAGCCAAAGGTAGAGGAGGAAAAAACAAAACAAAAAGACAAGAAGTGTGAGGGTTTTTTTACTACAAATCCCAGAATCCCCCTGTTGGCTATGGTGGGTTCTGGGAAGTGTAGTCCAAATAAAAAACAGAAACCCACCTTCCACTTCCCCCTGTTCAGACCTTATTCCTTCCTTTCTCGGTTCCATCATTTCCCCCCCCCCCCGCGTTGGGGGTCTTCTCTAGGATGTCAAGATGTCAACCGTCTACCTCGGCTTCTTTCCGACTGCGGTCACGGAAGAAAAACTGGAGGAGGCTCGTCAGAAATCCATCCGTCGTATTTTTGGGACCACCGACAGCTTGCGGTACATTAAGGACCCCAACAAAGTGGGGACTTACGAAGGCATCCTGCAGCAGAAAATAGAAGAGCAGTGAGTGTCATTATTTCTTCCCGCACAACCTTAATTTTAATTTACAGAGCAAAATTGTTATTTTTTTCCTTCTTCTCAATTTTGCCTGGTTAGGAAGTGCTTCTATTTAGCCTGCTCTCAGAGAGGGTTTCATTCTGGCATTAGGCCAACTCTGGTTAAGGAAGTTTAAACCATGGTTTGCTGTGATGTTCTGCACTAACAAACCATGGTTTGTGATCCTCTAGCATACCAGAATTGGAAACCATGCTTTGCAGTGAGTTCATAAACTGTAGTTTGTGTGTGGCTGACAAACCAGAATGGGAAAATGTTACTTGCAGTCAGTTGGTAAGTCATAGATTGCGATCGGGCAATGAACCAGAATTGGAAACCATAGTTTGTGGTGGGCTTGTAAACCATAATTTGTGATATTGATCAACTAGCAAACCTTGCCCAGGAGTTTCTCAGAACTCATTTGATGAAAGAAAAAACAAAGCAATGTGTCTAAACTCGGACTTAGACTGACCCTCGTAATTAATAGAACGACGGCGCATGCGTGTGGAAATTAAACGGACTCGGACCCTTTTGAAGTTGATTGTTTCTGGCTCCTATGTTTTTCCTTTTTCCTCAGCTGTCAGGAAGGCAACCGATTTTTCTCCCAGGGAGAATGGGAAAAAGCCATCGTGTGCTTTAGTAAAGCCTTAAATCTGGATCCTGACAAGGTAATACCAGTTGCAAAAGGGGGTGGCGATTCTTGATAGAAAAACGGTGTAATGCCAGGACGAAGCGTTTAACCCCTTCTCCCGTGGTCTTGACCTGGTCACCTCCCCCTCCCCCGTGGTGTAAAAATATGTAAGCAAGGAGACATGATGATGTCGGGGTGCGCTCATCTCCTGAAAGCTGCCTCCGACTTCTAAACTGTGCAGGTGGTGCTGTACGAGAAAACGGCCGAAGCTTTCCTCCAGCTTTGTGACTTCCAGTCCGCTGCTCAGCACCTCCGGAAGGCTTATTCGATGTCAGCAGCAAAGGAGACCGTGGCAGCCCGCCTGGCATTCGTTCTGCTGCTCCAGGTGAGCTGCAGCGTGGCAGGGCTGGGGCACCAGTGGCCTCCCCGGGTGCTGTCACTCCCGTCGTCTTGCGTTCGCCGTACGAGGCTTTGTTAGCCGTTAACCTTGCAAGTGGAGGGTTTTTGGGGGGCGCAACTGTGTGAACAATCAATGTACTGTATTTAGGAGATGAGGTGATTTGCCTCCAGATGCCCATGTCCTTGCCTTGGGGTTTATTGGCAAAGCTCAGGGCCTGCATTTCAATTTTCAGGGCCAGTGTCTATATGAGCAACGAGTCTACCTGGATGCCCTGGAATCGTTCACACGAGCCTCAGAACTGCAGCCTCTGAGTACACTTTATCGCATGCGGAGGTAGTGACCAGTTTGCCGTGAGAAATGTCGACATCTCTCTTCTGGAACGTTTGGAGAGAGAGGCATAAAGACCTGGTTCTCTCAGGGGACAACAATTTATTCCTTTCTAGGACTGTGAAAACATGGCTGGCTGTTGTATACTGTGACTTGTAGTCCTAAGAAGCCACACTTTACCACATATTGTCCAAGAAAGCGTTGTTGCTTTTTCAAATGTAGGCATGAGGGGTTTCTGTAACCAAGTTTAGGGTTCTTTTCTCCTACACTATCCCTGAATGGGTTATACGTATGTTTTCTGCTTTTCACTTAATCATGAGTTTAGCCATCAGCTTAGCACTGCTCTGTGGCATCTCTGCTAGTATAAATTACAACCATTCTTACAAGGGGACTCTTGCTCTTGAGGTTTGGCACCTTTATCCATCCCTAGTTCTTTCCATGACCCCATAACTGATTTTTTTCCCCTACAGTGCTTCCTGGTCAGAACTGGGGGATACTGGGGAATCTCCTGAATCTTGATGCTGACAGATGATGATTTTAGATCTGTGACCCTGCCTTCTGTTTTTTCTAGGATCGCCTGCCTTGCAGCCTTGAAAAGATACAACGATTGTCTTCAGATGGTCAACGAAGAAGCTTCGCGGGAAACGAAAAACCCGGACCTTTTCGTCCTGAGGGCTCGGCTTTATGAACACTTCGGGAAAGTAAAGGGCATTATTATTATTGTTATTGGCATTCAAAAATACCAGGCACAGTCAATCAAAATTATAAAAACATTTACTGCTATTATATGACAGATGCAAGTATTAGCCAAAAACCTATATATCTGATGATGATGATGATGATGATTTGCAGGGAATGTCCCCTATATATCTGATGATGATGATGATTTGCAGGGAATGTCCTTTTGCAGGATTTGTATACACCTGCGTAGCTTGGACCAGCAAGAACTAGGTGGGATTAAAATATTTGGCATCAGGGGTTTCTGTAACCAAGTTTAGGGTTCTTTTCTCTTACACTAGAGAGGCAGATCTGATTGCATCAAGTCAACCGCTCACCAAAGCATCTCTTTCCCTCTCCGTCACCCCTATGGCATGTCCATGGCTAAACTTTCTCTAAGCAACAGCTTTGTCCTCCCAGGTGACTTTATCTTTTTACAACATCCAAGATGCTCTCCGGTTGGATCAAGAGCACACGGAAGCTCGGGTGATGCTCAGCAAGTGGAAGAGACGGGCGCAGAAAGCTAAGGACCAAGCGGTGAACAAGGCGGTGAAGGGAAGCCTGAAAACGGCCTTGCTGAAGATCAACCAGGCCATTGAGTATAACCCTGTGGATGCTGGCTATTTCCTGTTCAGGTACAGCCGTGTATCAGTCGGGGGTGGAAGGGCAGGCGCCCCCTCGTGGCAATTCCATCATCTCTGCCGTTCTTAGATGAGGGTGAGGAAAACTGATGAAGTACAGGGAGTTGTGCTGCTGTGTATCAACGTACATGGTGCCCCGCATGACAACGATAATTTGTTCCTCTGAAATCGCTATACAGCAAAATCGTCATCATGCGAAAACAGTTTCCCCATTGGAATGCATTGAAAACCGGTTAATGCGTTCCAATGGGGAAAATACCTCGTCGTCCAATGAAGACCACCCATAGGGTGGCCATTTTGCGAGCGCCGATCAACTGTTTTTAATCGCTGTCTTCCGAAGCATGACGAAGACCGCCCATAGGGCGGCCATTTTGCGAGCATCAATCAACTATTTTTAATCGCTGTCTTCCGAAGCATGGGTCCGGAAAACAGTGGGAAGCCATTTTGCGAAGCCAACGATCAGCTGTAAAGATTGTCGTCTTGCGAATAAACGGTCCGTGAAGCACGGACCAAATTGTCATGAAGCGGAATTCCCCCATTGAAATGCCTGTTTTGCGAATCGCTATAGCAATCGCAAAAACTCATTGTCCTGCGGTTTCGTCATTTAACGGGGTCGTCATGTGGGACACCACTGTATCTTAACCCTTTTCACTAGTCAGGCTGAAAGAGAATTTGAACCCATGTCGTAGTGGATTGAGTATTAGATTGAGAGGGGGGGGAGCATGGGTTCAAATTCCCTTTCGGCCTGACCCTGCCTCATAGACTTGTTGGGAGGAAAGAGTGGGGAAGAACAGAATCATGTACGGTACCTCGAACTCAGTGCGGGAAAGCTGCCTATCAATGCAAGAAATCCTAATGATGGGGCTTTTATAAAGCTAACGGGTCTTAATGGCCCATTCTGTCCCAGAGTGCTGCATCATTTCTCTTGGGAGCCAATCCGTGGGTGAAAAATGGCCTGGATCAAAAGCTCTTTGATAGAGGGACATGATAAGACCCCGAGTCCCCGTGGGCTAAGTCATCGCCGCCGACGCTCTCACCCTTCCGCCTGTCTCTCTCATGATCGCCTTGGCAGAGGGAGCATCCTGCGGCGGCTGAAAGACTTTGGCGGGGCCATCGACGACTACCTGAAAGCGGTGGACCTCAGCCAGGGGGACGAGGAAGGCCACGAGGTTCGCTCGGAAGGCCAGAAGCAGGTCCTCCGGACGTACAACGACTTCGCCGTCCACTGTTACGCCCGGGGCTGCTACGAAGAAGCCGTGCTGCTCCTCAACAAAGCCATCCAGGGGGAGAAAAGCGAGCAGGGCCTCTACGTCAACCGAGGAGGTACTAAAGGGGCCGTTGGGTCCCCGCGCATCCTCAACAGTCCTGCTCAGTTCTTGTAAACTCAACCTTGTGGCTTCCTTGAGGGAGTCCGTCCATCTTGTACTTGGTCTTCCTCTTGTCCTGCTGCCTTCCGCCTTTTATAAGCCCCTATAAATTCCCTTCCCCGATCATATTTTTGAACAAAAACAGCCTCGGCTGCTTGCTAAGGGATTTCTGGGCCTCTCTCCTTCCTCCAGACTGTTTCCTCCAACTGGCTATAAGTCCCTATAAATTCCCTTCCCCGACCATATTTTTGAAGGGAAACAGCCTCGTCTGCTTGCTAAGGGATTTCTGGGCCTCTGTCCTTCCTCCAGACTGTTTCCTCCAACTGGGGGAGCGTCACTTTGCCCTGGAGGATTATCGACAGGCCCTGGAGCTAAAACCTCTGGCCCCCAGCCTGCAAAAACGCGTCGCCCGGTTGCACAACGAGATGGGCCTCCAGGAGTTCCGGGAGAGGTAAGCCCCGGGCGGATCGGGGCAAAGGCTTTAAAGGTCCTGCCGGAGGTTTGAAAAAGGCACCCGGGCGTTTCTGAACCCGGCGGGGCTGCTGGCAGAGCCCGCTCGCGCATGGGCTGGTGCGAACAACCGGGGAGAAATCATAGATCAGCCCCAAAGAGGTGACTGCTCGGCCGGCCGGTCTCTGATTAAATTTATGCCTTCATCCTTCCTCTAAGGACCAACCTGCCACCCAAATTGACTATCGCAACCACAGCCCTGTAAGGTAGGCCAGGGTGACCCAGAGTAACGATCCAAGGGTCACCCAGTGAGTTTTTATGGCTTGGTGGGAACGGGAACCCTGATGGTTCAAGTCTCGATTCCTTAATTTCAGCAGGGCTGCTGTCTCTTTGTGCCTCCCGGCTGCGCCCTGGGTGGGTTCAGGAGAGCCAGATTTAAAAAGCAGAACCGTCCAACTTCGGTCAGAACTCTTCCTCCTCTTGGTCGATCTGGCAAGGATCCCCTTTATGGCAGAGAGCCCGAGACCCTCTTCTCCTCCTCCCTTTCAGGCGATACCCCCAGGCGGAATCTCTTTTCTCCCAAGCCATCGAGCACAACCCTCGGGAGCTGAAGTATTACCTGCATCGGGCCAAGAGCCGCATGTTCCTACAGGAGGTGATGGGGGCCAAGGAGGACCTGGTGACAGCTTTGCTGCTGGATCCTAAGAGGGAAGAGGTGGGACATCTCTGGCGAGGCATTCAAGTGTCCGGGTGGATCCCCCCTCCTCCACCCTCCGCTCGCCATAGGGGACCTAGAGAGCGGGATTGGGACACCCAGCGGCCGGATTTAGCCCGAGGGCTCAGCGTTGCTCACCCCTCTGCTAAAGAACCGTAGGAAGGGAGCAGAGAATAAAGACACAGATGTCTTCAACCCTCTTCTTTCCTTTCCCGCCATAGATTTTTTTCCCCTTTTCTTTGTTCAGGCCCACGTTCTGGCCAATAACTTCTTTCCCGGGGAATCCATCCATTCTCTGCTGAACAGTAAAATCTGCACTCTTGCAAAAGCTCTTTTGAATCGGAGGCTCGAGGCCTCTCCAGCATACGAGGTCCCAGCTTCCCGCGAAAGGTAAGCGTGGTGGCGTTAGCGGCCCTCCTTGGGGGAAATTTCCTTCCCCCCCCCCACCAAAAGTGGCTTCAAGGGAATGGTTCCCATCGGGGGGAACAGGGATGGCTCAGCTTCCGAAACTCAAAAGGATCGGGCAGGAAGGGTAGGGAGAACCAGCCTGTTTTTCAGATCCCGTAGAGATCCTGGCAGCCGGACCTGAAAGCTGTTAGATGTGCGAGCAAAATCAAAGGTGGTTTCTTATCAACTTTCCTGAGATTTAATCCCGTTGTGGCTTGAGATTTTGGCACGCAAATACCATGTGTTTTGGCATGCAAGTATATCATGCCCTTGACAACAACCGGGGGCAGGGGGGAGAGAAGCAACTAATACGCTCAACTGGAGATCCTCCTGATTTTCGGAAAGCAGCCTTGTGAGAAGTCCCTGCCTTTAATTTTGGCTGTTGTTTTGGAGAAACTGCACTTGCTGGTGGTATCGGTTCTCGGGGTGCGTCCCCCACCTCGAAAGCCTTTCAAGGGTTAAACCTGTGGGTAAAGGATGTATCTCGTCTCTAGATCTGGCTTAGTTCCTCAGAGGCCATCTCTGGATGAAGCTGTCATCCTCTGGAAATCTCGGTTTCGCTCTCTTGCCTTTCCCACCCTCTTGCAGGCTGGAAGGGCGAGGAAAAGAACCGCCCAACGACGCGTACGTCCTAAACGAAGACCCGGGAAAGTCGAGATTGGAGAAGAAAGAGAAGAAGCCCCAGGATCACGAAGAGAGGAGGCTGGCTGAGCGGTTGGCTGCCTGCCAGAGGAAAGCTAACGAAGTAAGGGCCGGATCAGATAGGATGCTTCTCATGTCATTAGGAGAAGAAAACACTTAAAGCTTTCAAGCTGGCAGTCCTCTTCGTGCATGGGGGCCTCACCAATCGAAATGCCAAACGAGCCGGTGTCCCATGTGTCAGACGAGCATCCTTCGCTCGGCCACCGGTCCAGCAGCCTTTCCCAAGTTAGTTTCTCCCAGAGGGAGTGACTCCAAGGCCTATCATCCCCATCCAGCACCTCAAGCCCTTGGTAGGGATGGCAGGGGTCCCAGTCCCTTCCCCAGGAGGAAGCTGGCTGAAAAGAGACCAAGCCGGTGGGCCACAAACAGGGGTCTCTTGCCCTTTGGGGGGGCAGATCGGGACCGGTGCCGCCCTGTGTTTGGCAGGTAAACCAAGAGCTGAAGGGCGTTCGAGAGAAGAAGGTGTCACTCCGCCCGGCTAGTGTCCGGTTGGATCCGAACCCCCATCTGACCGAAAGGGAGCAGCGGCACTCGGAAGAACCTTATCACTGGAGGAAGTTCACCCAAGGCATCGGACCCAGCTAGGCTTGCGGCTTGCTAAAGCAGGATACAGTACTTCACAATTTGGCCCCTAAACTTTCCTCCCTTCCTTCCATACATCCTTCCCCCCTTCCATCCTCCCTCCCTTCCATCCATCCTCCCATCCTTCCTGGCTTGCTAAAGCAGGATACAGTACTTCGCAGTTTGGCCCCTAAACTTCATTTCCTCCCTTCCATCCATCCTCCCATCCTTCCTCTCTTCTATCCATCCATCCTCCCTCCCATCCTCTCTTCCTCCCATCCTTCCTCTCTTCCATCCATCCATCCTCCCTCCCATCCTCTCTCCCTCCCTTCCACCCATACTTCCTCTTTTCCATTCATCCATCCTCCCTCCCATCCTTCCTCTCTTCCATCCATCCATCCTCCCTCCCATCCTCTCTCCCTCCCTTCCTCCCATCCTCCCTCTCTTCCATCCATCCATCCTCCCTCCCTTCTATAATTCTAGCAGATGCCAGGCCTGGCGTTTGACTGGCGCCAGAGTACCACTGCACTTCTGTTTTGGCATAACAGAGAAGTTCAACCTCCATGACCAAATTCATTCTCCCTCTAGCATATTAAAGCCAGTCCCAAACGTTTTGACTTCTCATTTCTTTTACGCCTACCGCCGTCTTTTTGCGCTAAAAGGTGTTACATCAGGATTTCAGCCCAGGGCCTTTGAGAAGCCCTCATCCTGTCTAGGAAGCCTGGAGCGCCCTCATGTCCTACGTTTTACACCTAAGCAATCCCTTCCTCTGGCCATAGACGTTTAAAAAAGGTCAGTGACGTCCTTTGGGGCCAGTCAAGGCTCGAAGCTTCCCTTCCAGCCTTTTCACCTGTTCCGGAAGGCTTATGGGTATATACACTGCTCAAAACAATGAGGACATATTGCAAACATTTATTTTAGTTTGAATAAAAACTGCAGCACACGCCTACTGAGTTTGTTTGGGTCTGTGAAAACTGCAGCGTTTAGAACCAGCGAATCCAAATTTGCCAGTCCAACCACATCTTCGTAACTGGTTTCCAGGAGCCTTTACAAAACAATCAAATTTCTCTTGCTTAAAACCACCAACACGTGTGTGTACAAAGAACTTCCTTCGTGCGTTCTGTGTCAACGTTAAAGTGAGAACAGCACAGGAAAACATCAACACCGTCATGAGCCGGTGGCCTTCTGAGGCACTTCACATTTGCAAATCTTATAAATAAAGCCCTGTTTTCTGGTCCAATAAAAGAGGGACAGTGGAAAAATGTGTGTGTGTCTCTCAACCTGCCAGGAATAGCCGGAGGAAAGCCTGGGTTTAAGTGAGAGGGAAACAGCCCTTGAAACATTTTCTAGTAGCACCTGATCTCAAGAGGAAGCAAACCTGGTGTGCTTCAGGTTAAATCCGCATTACCGAGTCCAGCTCTTCTGCTCTAAGATGTCCCAAGGAGGACTGCAGCGTCCAGCAAAATCACAGTATCGAAACCGAGATAACCCGAGTTAATTCAAGACATCAGGATATTCTTCCGCTTGTGCCGTGCTGAGAACTTTGAATGTGACAACGGCCACCTCAGAGGACAAAGTCTATTAAACTGTGAGATAAAACCAGCCAAGATTTCCTTCTAGTTCACGGTGGCCTCTTCTTCAGAGTCCTAAAGAGTCCACGTCGCCTTAAAAGGCGAAGTATAAACTCTAGAGAAAGTGCAGAGAAGTTTCTTCCTTGGTCCACAAAGCAAATCAGGACAGCGACGTTTCAACTCCCCCGGACACCCTCCTTGTTTTGTGTGGCCAACCCGAAAAATGAGTTTCCAGGCCAGGGAAGGCGAGGAATCCCACACGGAGGTTCAGAGGTAGAAGGGGACGCGAGATGCCACCGTTTTGCAGCCCGTGGAGGAGAACACTTTCTCCTCCTCCGGGAAGTAGGAGATGCCGTCAGCGATGGCCTGGATCGCTTCCGGATGCGGCCGCAGGCCTTGGCTTGCAAGCTCTTTGGCGGCACACTGCCGCACGTGGTGCGGCTTCAGAGGCAGAAATGGCACGAGGACGTCAACCAGGCCCTGCTCGATGATGCCCGACTTCCAGAACCCACCTGCAGGAGGAGAGAGAGAGAGAGAGGGCAGAAGCGTCAACAGAGTGAGCCTTGCTAAGTAGCGCTCACCCTTTGTGTTTTTCTCTCATAAGAACCTAAGAAGAGCCCTGCAGGATCAGGCCGAGGGCCCACCTAAGTCTAGCTTCCTGTGTCTCTCACTGTGGCCCCATCAGATGCCTCTGGGAGCACACAAGACTTGATCCCCCTCCCCTGCATCTGGCCTTTGGAGGGACCTTCCTTCTAAGCCTGGAGATTGTGCCCTCCCCATTGTGGTTTGTAAACCATAATCCACTTTTCCTTCAGGAATCTGTCCGATCCCCTTTTGAAGGCCTCTAGATGCCATCCCCACATCCTGTGGCAAGGAGTTCCACAGACTAACCACATGCTGGGTCAAGGAAATCTTTTCTTTGGTGTGTTCCCACTCTCCCAACACTCCCATCGGAGTGGATGTCCCCTGGTTCTGGTCTTGCGTGGGAGGGAAAAGAGCTTCCATCAATCCACTTTAATCTCCCTTCCTGGCATCATTTCTCGCACCCAGTACTCACTTTGGGGGGTCTGAAAGACAGCTTCCAAAACGGAGGTTTCGAGGTCCTTCAGGCTGATCTCCTCCCGGTCTTTGCGGGCCCGCCAAAAGTCCAGCGCGATCTGGTTAATCTGCTCCCCGCCAGCGTTGCTATCAGAGAACAAGAACAAGGATCAGGCCCTTCAAAAAAAAAAAAAGTCTTAAAATGCTAAAATCCTGTACCCCAGAGGCACGCATAACCAGTTCAGGGGCCACGGTTTGGTAGGATTCTCTAGCCTAGGAAACAAACCAGCATTTCCAAATGGAAGCAATAGTGAATAATCTCTTTGCTTGTTTATTTTTTTTAAAAAAGTTCAGCATTTCCAGTTTAGAGCACCCTCCCAGATAACTAGTTTTGGCATTTGGTTGTGGAGCCAGAGGTTGGGAGTTCGATTCCCCACTGGGGCTGGACTCCAGGGTCCTTTCTATCCCTACAGTTCTAAAATTAAGATCATTATTTTGCTAAAACATGGTTGGTTTGTAGGGCTCACGTCTTCTTCATCCAGGAGAGTCACATCTACAAGACAGGAATCTCTTCCTTTTATGAAAATAATTCCAAAATATAATTTTTTTGTGGGTTGGTTTTGTGCTCCGGAGCCCACGTAAATAGCTGCACGATTCCCATCCTTGCCCATTTATTTGGCAGGAAGCTCCGCTAAACTTAGATGGGTTTGTTTTTGAGTAGACCTTTACAGGGCTGTGCTTTTAAAGTTGGGATGCTTCCAGGCAGGACAAAAATCTCGTTTGAAACTGCCAATTCAAAGCCCATGGACAGAAAAACACCTCCAAAATCTCGTTTGAAACTGCCGATTCAAAGCCCATGGACAGAAAAACACCTCCCAGAGTCTTCAGGTCTTAAATTTTAAAAAGAAAAATACAATACAGGCGGGGGTAGGTTGAAAGATGAGGTGGGTCACGATGGTTTATCATTTCGAATTACAAAGTGTACAAATCCCGCGAGGCAACTGATGCCTGCTGGTTTTATCAGGTTTCTACCTAATAAAAATGAAGATGGCTTTCCTGTAGTTCGTCCCAAACACCACCCAGGAAGGTCCTAAGAACGGAATAATCACATCGATCAAGCCCGGGTGCATCTTGTCCATCTCGTCGAAGAGGAAAACCGATCGGCTGCAGTCGGTCAGATTTCCCTGGATCCAGTTTTTCAAGTCAGCCTGGAAGGAAAAAAAAGGAATATTCATCGAGACAGAAATAGGACCATATAAATCAAAACGACTGCTACGAACAGCAAAACACTGCTTTTCAAGAAGCTTGGAATATTCTTTCAGCTTGTCGTTATTTATTATTACCAAACTACTGCAATGGCCAGGATTATGTCAAAAAAAAAGAGGGCTAAGATCAGGAGGGAGAGCCCGGATCAATACAGGCCTATTTATATTTATTTGCTCTATTTATATCCTGTTTCAAGATAGCCTCTATGGTTCTCCTTCGCTCTGCTTTTAAAAGGATGTGATCCGTTAATTCAAACACATTCGTTCGGCCACAAAAGGAACCAGGCCACGGTGGTAACGAGGAGGTTGGACGAGTGAACTGCTAGACGAAGGCAACTTGAAAGTTAGATGGGCTTTGTTCTCCCTTTAAAATAAAGATAAAAGAGAGGGAGACCTACACGAAACATCACAGGGAAAGGACGTCGGCAACCGCCCTCCTCACCTTGTATTTCTCAAGTTGTTCCAGGTGAGGGAAATGAACCACCGGGGAGAAACGGTGGACGTATGGGCTACGGAGTCCGTTCCGGAAGAGGTAGCGAACCACCAGGGAGCTGACGTAGGTCTTGCCTGTCCCGGTCCAGCCGTGAAAGGACATCACCAGAGGCTTCGCGGGGTCGCCGTCCTGGACAAACGGCTTCAGCCCTTCCATGATCAGTTGCCTCGCCAAGGGCTGCCCGAAAAGGTTGAGCGCCAGGTCACAGTCCAGGCCTGGGAGGAAACAGAGAGTCCAAAGAGGAGGCCATCATCATCATCGTCAGCATAATACAGCATACCTACTGTGCTGGTATTTAACAGATACTTAGGTTTTTAGTTAAAACTTGTTTCTGTAATAGAATGCCAGTCAATGTTTTTATAATGTTGACTGTGCCTGGTGTTTCTAAATAATAATAATGATGATAATGATAATGCCGTTCTTCCCCCTTTTCTCCTCCTAAACATGGCTTTGTTCCTTACACATTGGCTCTAAGGGGGCATTTTGTTGTTGTTTAGTTGTTTAGTCATGTCCGACTCTTCGTGACCCCATGGACCAGAGCATGCCAGGCCCTCCTGACTTCCACTTCCTTCAGAATGGATAGGTTTGTTCTCTTTACCATCAGCAGCAGCAGCATAATACAACATACATACTGCGCTGGTATTTAACAGATACGGTACTTAGGTTTTTAGTTAAAACTTTTATCTGTTATAGAATGCCAGTCAATATTTTTATAATGTTGACTGTGCCTGGTGTTTCTGAACAACAACAACAACAACAACAATAATAATAATAATAAGATGCTGTCTAGGTTTGTCATCGCTTTCCTCCCAAGAAGCAGGCGTCTTTTAATTTCGTGGCTGCTGTCTCCATCTGCAGTGATCATGGAGCCCAAGAAAGTGAAATCTGTCCAGCCTTTCACATAATGTATTCTGCATATAAGTCAAATAACCAGGGAGACAATATACAGCCTTGTCGTACTCCTTTCCCAATTTTGAACCAATCAGTTGTTCCATATCCAGTTCTAACTGTTGCTTCCTGTCCCACATATAGATTTCTCAGGAGACAGATACCTAGTCTATTCCCTCACCCTGACTTGCCAAATGTTTGGGAACAGATAATGAGTCTACTCCCTCACCCTGACTTGCCAAATGTTTGGGGTATTTTTTTAGCTTATTAAATTTCTTCTTTCTTTGCTCCCCATTTTTTGAGCCTTCCTGTCTTCCTTCAGAAGACTACACCTGCCAGTCTCATGTGAGAGAGAGAGTTTAAATAGCATCCTTTCTTTATCCTTGCACAACAACCCTGCAAGGGAAGGCGAAAAGCTGTGTCACGTCTCTCACCATCCCAGAAAGTGGGTGATGGTTTTGTCCTTTCTGTGTCTCATCAAAATCACTTTTGATTTATGACTCCCTTCCCTACAGCCCTGCGAGGCGCCCTAATTTATAACTCTCACAACAACCCTGCCAGGTAGGACAGGCTGTTTTATCAGAGATCCCTTTTGAGCTTCACAGCCCCAGCAGGGATCCGAACCCCGCTCCTCCGAGTTCCCAGGCGGGCGCTCTAGCCACTAGACCACCGCGTCCCCCCTTTCCCTCTTCTCTCTCTCCCCCCTCGCCCCTCCTCACCGCTCAAGTCCGGCCGGAAGTCGCACTCGCAGGAGGCCGAGAAGCTGCAGTGCCAGGCGCCGATCCCCCAGGGGGCGCCCGCGCCCACCAGAGGCAAGAGCGGCAGCAGCAGGGGCAGCGCGAGGGGAGCCCCGCCCCTCGCCATCGCGCTCTGTCGGGGTTCGGGTCCCCTCCTCGTGGACGCGGCGCGGCGCGGCCGACTCCCAGACTGCCCCGCGCGGAGGGCGACGAGGGGCAAGGGGGCGGGGCTTGGCGGAGGGTTTCTGGGAGAGGGCGGGGCTCGGGTTTGGGCGGGGAAAAGAAAAAAGGGGGGAGTGGAGAGGAGGCTCGCCACGGAGAGGAAACGTCGAAGAAACAACTACAGTAAAAAAGTGGAACGAATAAAAGTAGTTTAGAGGGAAGTGGGTGGGTGGGGAAAGAAAGCAGAATTAGGTAACGAAACTTAAACAAGACAGAAAAGTTTGCTGCAAAAATCAGTGAGGAGGAATGAATGCAAGAGAAAAGTTCAAGACTGGAAGGAAAAAATGAAATAAGCGAATCGGAGGAGAAGAAGGCAACCGAAGGGTGGCAAGGAAAATAAGAGAATTTATTCAGAGATTCTGGCTTGCAAATTTCCATTGCACCAAATGCACCCAAGCCCCATTTTGCAATGACAGGGAACCTCATTGCTGTGGAAGGAGGCCACAGCGGTGCTAAGTTCTGCGTGAAGCCTTTCAATTTAATTTGCTTTATGTGAGCAGTGAAGAAAGGAAGGCTGTGAAGGTGGAAGGGACTCCCCAGAGAGCAAAGATTTCTGCAGAAATGAATACTGTAGGGGTTTTTTTTGGGGGGGGGGAAGAACATGCACCCCCACCAAAGAGCATTTCTTGAAGAAAAGAGGGGGAAAAGCATAAAAGGTTTATTTTTATTGTAGGCGGTAATCAAGAGAGGACACTCCATGATATATGTACATTCATTTACAAGACCAAAAAAAAGCGAGGCGATTTAATCTTTTACAAAAGAGGTCCCTTTCGAAAACATACATGTGTAGAAATGTGTGCGTGTTTACACACACACAAGCTTCAGTGAATCATTTTATTTACAAGCAGAAAAGGCTCAAAATGCAAACGGAATCGGCGCTCCTGGAGGAGGTGGAGGAGAACCGAAGGCGAAAACCAGCTTTGAAGAAGATCAAGTATTTTATTTTGTAAAATGCAAGGCTAGCGATGGGAGCCTGGGCGTCGCTTCGATGTGGGGAAGGCTATTTTGTGAGGCCCTCTAATGACACCTTTTGTGCATTTCTGGACAGAGATGGCATCGCTCGTGGGCTTTTTCCAAGTGCCACGAGGGGACGTGGAGTGGGTAACGGGACAGCCGGACGACGAGAGCCCCAATCCCGAAGGATGCACTATTCGCTCCCCCTCCCCAGCCAAAAAAACTGGAGTAAAAATTGGATAAGCATCCCCCCAATTTCATATATATCTGAGGCGGTAGCAATGAGGAAATTGCATGCTCAGCTCTTGGGACCCAGGAGCCCTGAAGGAGGGAGCGCATCTGAATGCAACTTTTATTGTAGAATATAGTCCTGCTCCATTTACAAGTGGATTTTTTTTTAAAAAATAAGGCTCCCAACGTGATTTTGCTCCATTGGCAACCCTCCTGCATTTTCCCCACCGCTGCTTTCGTCTCCTTTTTCCACCTTTACTGTAGAAAATCCATTAAGATGGAATAGCAGCACAGTATGGTTGGATTTTATTATTATTATTGACAGTTTTGAAAGGCTTCCGTCTGGAAACATACCTTTCCCCCCCCAGGTTAGTTCTGTATAGAGGAAGAAACAGAAGGCCGTTAACGAGAGACTCAGTTTTCAATTACAACATAGCGAAGTGATTTTCTCTGGTTTAAAAAACCAGAAGGCATCTGAGGTCAGTCACATCCAGGCGTGCATCAGTATTAAGTTTTTTTTTGCACCTCTGAAGGATTTTTGCACTGGTCATAAAATCATACGAGGGATCTGGAATGCAATTCCCCAGCGGCAGCCTTAATTACGATTTCAGCAGTGCCTCTTCCTATACAGTTTGTAAGGCCAGTGATGGTAGCACAGAGGATCCATACCATGGTTAGGTTTTCCAGGGAGCAAGTCAACCCGTTCTGCAGTTTGATATGTTGATTGTCCATATGTCAAGCAAATACTTTCTGCGGCAACCAAATCACAGATTGGGTAGCTTCAGTCTTAGCCACCTTTCCATAGGCAGAAAGAGCAGACTTGCAGATGAGACATGCATTCTCAACACACATACACACACAACCGGCAACATCCTCACAAAACCGATTCGGAAAGGAAGTGCAATTGTTTCCTTGGGATCCCCCCTCCAACAAATGTCCTTTGCTGTCTTGCTCCAAAGTCCGCCTTCCCCCGCTACAATTCGCTCGAGCGCACGGCGGGTTCCAGCTTGTGGGACAACGCCGTGAGGACCTTGTTAAATCTCTCGTAGCGTTCGCTCTGGCTGCTCTCGGCCCCTCGGCTGCCCCAGAGGAGACGCAGCTGGAACTCGGTGTGGAAAACTTCTAGCAGCTCCGGCTGAGGTTGGAAGCCTGCAGTAGGAACAACAAAAATAAAATAAAATGTGGATTAAGAAGTTGTCACAAACGCTGCCGAACGAGATAAGTTTCTGCTTTTGGATTCTGTGCTATACAGAGAGGGAGGCTGGATGGAATAGCTTCTGCCAGTCCACCGATCATGGACCCTTTCGTTCCCGGTTCTGGGAATGGTCCGAGGACGCGTGCCACAAGCCCGCTCTGTAAAAAGAAGCCAATCTGGGCCCAGTCAGTCCCTCGTTGCAAGAAATAAAGGATCTCAATAAACAGAAAAATATTCCTCTACCTCTACCCTTTGGGTTTGTTCCTTTAGAGGAGTGGTTATATTTCCATCGTGCTATGGGCAGCATTCATTTACTTAAAAGCTAAATTCTGTTTTTCCAAGCCCAGCTGCCTATGATGACTGCAGGTGTCTATGAATCTCTGTGTGGTTTTCCTCTTTAAGAGTTCTTTCCTATGGGTGGAAGAGAAAAGAGCATTTTGGCTGTTTTATCCATCTCTTTCTCTCCGGGAAGACTGGTGGCCTGTTACTTTTAGACAGGTTGTGTTGAACGGCGCCAGGCGGGTGAGAGGCCGGTGGCCGCGCTGAGCTCCCCGCGAGCCACCTTACCTTGCAGCTTCACCTCCGCATTGGTGTGGTACAGCCCGCCGTGATGGGCCACCATCCGCGCCGCTTCCAAGTGGGCCATGACGACCTCCACGCCGTGGTCCACGTTCTCCCAGGGCTCCGGGTTGTCCGGAAGCGCGTCGTCTCGCTCCAGGAGAGTGATGAGAGGCACAATGTGTGGGAAAGTCGTGTTTGACAAGGGAGGTCCTTCTGGAAAGAGAAGACAATGAAGGGGGTTTAAAAGTAGAGGTTGAGTTGCTTCATGGGGCGTTTTTTTTTTTCCAAGCACAAGAGAGAACAAGCTTGTTTTCTGCTGCTCCAGAGAGCGGGTCTTAACAACAGGAAACACAATTCCATTAGAAGATGGTTCATGACTGTTAGGGCTGTTTGATGGAGAAATTAATTAGTGGATTCTCCGTTGTCAGAGCTTTTTAAACAGAGACTGGACAGCTATCTGCTAGGGATACCTTTATCTGCACCAGAAAAGTCTTTGACTTCATGATCCGTTAGGGGCTATTCCAGTTTTACTGCCTCCTTTTGAATAGCCGCAAATCTTTAGAGAATTCGCTAGACCAACATATTTTCCGAGCAAGCATCGGTCTACGGCCATCTGTTACTTTCAGACAGTTCTTGCTCAAGAGTGGTGCTTAATTATGAAACCTACCTCGTGATTGTTCTACCAAGAGTTGCTTGCGTCTTGCCGACTATTTTAATCCTTCTCGCTTCGCTCTGCTTTTAATCCCTGTATACTTTAATTTTAGATCACATTGCTAGGGGGATTGAAGGTGAGCATACACCGGTTTTAACTTGGCAATTCTAGGGGCGCTTCTAGACACACACAAAAATTGTATTGAGCGGTTTTCCCAATTCCAACATGGAATTTTACCTAACCTTCCTGTTTTTTCCCCCCCTCGTCAGAAGACACCCAAAATTTAGGACCCATACAAAGAAGGAAACAATAAAACAGCTGCATTAAATGGGTACGACTGATGAAGGTGGGGTTTTGCTTAGAGAGAGCCAGGTATTTAAAGAAGAGGAAAGAAGCCGCCTAAGTATGGATGCTCACCGCTGCCTTCGTTGAGGCTTTTCAAGAAAGGCTTTAGCTTCTTCTCGTACAGGATGGCACCCTCCGTGTGGCGCTGTCGTAGAACCATCCACGTCTGCTCTAGCCGTGAGATCTGAAAGCCAAAGCCGAAAGCAAAGGGCGCATGAGAGAGACAGAGAGCGATGCGGGCGCATGGAAGGAGGTGCTTGCTAAAAAGGGTATGCATTCATTATCTGTTACATTTATATCCTGCTTTTTTTTTCTTCCAGTGAGTTCAAAGTGTCCTACAAGGCTCTCTTCCTCTCGATGTTGTCTTCCCAACCCCAGGTGATGGCGAGAGGCGTTTCAAGGCTCGGCGAGCGTCTTCCTCGCCCCAGGCCAACACGTGACCAGTATACCACGCGTGCCGTCTGTCAGGCCAAGGATCACACCCACTTACTCAAGTCATTGCAATTCCTCTATTCAAGTACTGAATGGAGATATTCTTGGGAGGAGGTCCTAAGGGAGTTAAGTTCCCATAGTGTCAGAGGTCAGGGTTTCACCTCTTGTGGCGCCTTTGGCTACATGAGCTGCGGCTGATAGGAACGGTCACTCATCTGTAGCCACCCTTGAATCTTTTGAGGCTGGGCACAAATCAAAGCGATCCATAGAGTCCAGGTTTCTCTAGTGGTTCCCAACCTTGTGAACATCCCCAGATGTTCTGGGACTACAGCTCCCCCAAATCCTGCCCAGTACAGTGGGTGGTGAAGGCTTCTGGGAGTTGTAGTCCAAGAACATCTGGGGACCCCAGGTTGGGAATGAGCGCTCTAAGGAGGGAGCTAAAAATTTCCCAAAACATCTCTAGCTGAGTTCTGGGATTTATTTCTGGCCTCTCCGTATGAGTCCCTTGGGCTCCCCTCCAGGGTTTAGACAGAACAAGGAGGACTGGGGCTGAACCAAAGGTGTCTGGATCCCTTGGGGACGCACCTGGGTCATTTCCAGTGCATTCATGACCGCTGCGAAACTGAACATGTTGCCCATCGTGCTCTTCAGCTCCGCGGCCAGCTGGATGGTCTTGTGGAGCAGGGACGCCCTCTCCTCCATGCTCCCAGTGCAGCCCAGGATATCCACCGCGATCATGATGGTCATCGTGTGGAACCTAAGCGAAATGGGGATGGAAGGAAGGAAATGAGGTTTCGTACAGAATAGGCTTTCCGATTTCTGTTTCCCTTCCGCCGTTGTAGCCACCAGCCCGGACGTTTGGAAGCGTCGGGGCTGCTTTCCGATGTAGGTCTGCAAGCTTAAGGACTAGAAACTTGCTTTTTGAACAAAGACCTGGCGCAGGTTCTCAAGAAATCAGTGCCCGGTACTAATAAGACAGCAATCCGTATGGGGTTTCCCAGTCCTTCACCCCATTGCTCCACGGCTAGGCCTGTCATGGGAGAGCATCTGCCCCCAACCCCGGCCAGGCCAGTTCATGCATCCCGTGTTTTGCTTCCCACCTTTCCAGCAAATCCAGCCGAAGCTGATGTCCATGGGGCAGGGTGAGCAGCTCCATCCCTGAACTCACTCCCATGAGTCGCTGCGTCTCCTTGGTAACGCCCAGTATCCTAGCAACCTGCAACAATAGACAGGGAAGGGGCTTAATCTCTCTTCGGATGGAGGGTA